AATTCCCATTAAAAAAACACCAAAATTCCCATTTAAAACACCAAAATTCCCATTAAAAAAACCCAACCCCCCCGAAATTCCCATTAAAAACCACCAAAATTCCCATTAAAAACACCAAAACCCCCCAAATTCCCATTAAAAACCACCAAAATTCCCATTAAAAACACCAAAATTCCCATTAAAAACCCCCCCAAACCCCCCAAATTCCCAATAAAACCCCCTCCAATCCCGCTTTCCCGCACCCGATCCTGGTGTAGAGGGGAAGGCTCCGGCCCTTGGAGCTGAGCTGGAGCTCCACGACCGCCGGCACCGACCCCTCGGCATCCTCCAGCTTCACCAGCAGCCTCTTCCGCCGGGAAATTCCCGATCCTGAGGGGAAAAATCGGGATATGAGAGCGGGAAAGGCTCCCAGGCAGCCTCTTCCGATGGGAAATTCCCGATCCTGAGGGGGAAAATTGGGATAAGGAGGCGGGAAAGGCTCCCAGGCAGCCTCTTCCGCCGGGAAATTCCCGATCCTGAGGGGAAAAATCAGGATAAGGAGGCGGGAAAGGCTCCCAGGCAGCCTCTTCCGCCGGGAAATTCCCGATCCTGAGGGGAAAAATCGGGATAAGGCAGCAGGAAAGGCTCCCAGGCAGCCTCTTCCGATGGGAAATTCCCGATCCTGAGGGGAAAAATCGGGATAAGGGAGCGGGAAAGGCTCCCAGGCAGCCTCTTCTGATGGGAAATTCCCGATCCTGAGGGGGAAAAATCGGGATAAGTCTCTTCCTTTGGGATTCCTGAGGGGGAAAAAGCGGGATAAGCCTCTTCTGGTGGGAAATTCCTGATCCTGAGGGGAAAAATCGGGATAAGGAGGCGGGAAAGGCTCCCAGGCAGCCTCTTCCGCCGGGAAATTCCCGATCCTGAGGGGGAAAAAACCAGGATAAGTCTCTTCCTCTGGGATTCCTGAGGGGGAAAAAGCAGGATAAGCCTCTTCTGGCAGGAAATTTCTGATCCTGAGGGGAAAAATCGGGATAAGGGATTGGGAAAGGCTCCCAGGCAGCCTCTTCCGCCGGGAAATTCCCGATCCTGAGGGGAAAATTCGGGATAAGGCAGCAGTAAAGGCTCCCAGGCAGCCTCTTCCGGCGGGAAATTCCCGATCCTGAGGGGAAAAATCGGGATAAGGGAGTGGGAAAGCTTTTCCTGTGGGAAATTTCTGATCCTGAGGGGAAAAATTGGGATAAGGGAGTGGGAAAGGCTCCCAGGCAGCCTCTTCTGCTGGGAAATTCCCGATCCTGAGGGGAAAAATCGGGATAAGCCTCTTCCTCTGGGATTCCTGAGGGGGAAAAAGCGGGATAAGCCTCTTCTGGTGGGAAATTCCCGATCCTGAGGGGAAAAATCAGGATAAGGAAGCAGGAAAGGCTCCCAGGCAGCCTCTTCCGGCGGGAAATTCCCGATCCTGAGGGGGAAAATCGGGATAAGGAAGCAGGAAAGGCTCCCAGGCAGCCTCTTCTGGCAGAAAATTCCCGATCCTGAGGGGAAAAATCGGGATAAGGGAGTGGGAAAGGCTCCCAGGCAGCCTCTTCCGATGGGATATTCCCG